AAACACACATTTTTGTATCCTTTTTAAGGACAAAATATTATATTATATAATATATATATATATATATATATATATATTATAATAAATATTATAAGTATACAACGTCAGGCACTCTCTGAAGACGCTCCGCATCTGAAATGCTGTTGGTTGGTGCAGATCACAGACTTGACACAAACCGTGTCACAGACAGAACGTCATAAAGCACCGGTTGGAATTTCATAGTAACTCTTTAGGCTTAAAAGAAACCAAGTGACTTTAGGTAGGAGACGAGATGCGGTGGTGCCAGTGTTTTTCAGTCTCTCAGGTTTGTCAGATCATACAGGACTTGGTTTTACTTTTGCAAGATGTTGAAAGGTTTCTGTCTGTGGGTCTTAATATTACACAAACATATATATGTACAGCGGTGATGGATAATCTTACACACACACACAATCATTAACTTTTCTCATATGAAAACACTGGTTTACACCCACACACACTGCACACATCAACACTTACACGTAATCCTTTCAGGTCTTGTGGCTGTATGAACACTGCAGGCTGTTGTAATATAAAAACAGTGTCCCTCTCTTCCCTCTGGGGAAGAGAACGCCATGATCACTGTTTACTTTTCATCTTCCTCTCTGTCTCCATATTACATCAGTTCTTTATCGAACATAGGAGCTCCATGTAATCATCAACTGGTATTTCTTTCCTCTACAATGAAACCTCTTAAAAATGGGGACAATAATTTAAAAGAAAAAATTGTTATTTTACAAACTTTAATGTTTTTTTTTTTATATAGTTTTGGACATCATTCTTTTTGGTTGTGATGATTTTGTTTTTTACTCAACAGTTCTCAGCTGTGTTATGGGACTCCACGGGGCACAAACAGGAGCCATCAGACAGGTTTTAACCAAGTTTTCCAAAACTCTTAAAAATCAAAATGGGGATTTGTTTCAAAACTGTCCAATGGCTCATTTGGTTGTCCTGCCTGTATTTTAGCAATTCAGCTTTTGATGACCAAAACTACAAAAAAAGTTACTACAAGGAGATTTAACTGGTTGTGAAACTTA